TTATTTTTTTTTTAAATTGCTACTACCTAAAAAAGCGTACAACTAAAGCAACAAATATGTTTTCCTACAGTCATACCACTCAAATTGCTATAAATAACGCTTTATAATGGTTTGTCCTTATTTTCACTTATTCAGGAATTTCTTAAACCTCCGTGTTTAGTGATGCCCATATCTGAAGGTGACGCAGGACGGCTTCTGTTCAACAAAAGCAAACCCCATAATACCTGTCATTGCGATACATTGGGGTTTTTTTTTATGAACAACAAAAGAAGATACTTTTGTTACCCACACAAATAGCGCTGAAAATACCAGTTTTTATACTGAACTATCCTTATGTGAGAACCCCAACATAACGTTGTCCTAGAATAAATTCACTTTAATCCAACGTAATTGCATATCTTTCCAAATCTGGCTTGGAATTAGGGCTGTGATTATCAAGTTAGCTGAAAGAAATTCGATATTTAATACAGAAAAGTTTGTATAAAAAGAATAGTTCTTATTTTAACGACTGTGTAGATGTAGAAATGGATAAGATCACAATCTGTCAAATTTACTTGCGAAATGTTGTCATTCTAACTCAAGAGTCGCGTGTCCTCTTAACATTTGGAATAAAGGTGTACAAAATACAGGATTAAGATCGCATTTATAATCCGCCTGCCTCTGATAAAGTCCTCCTGATTTTTATTGTTTATAGGCAAAACTAAAAAATAAATTTAAGTAGAGGTTATAGGAAAAATTGCTTTCGTAAGAGAAAAGGGTATTTCTCGTGTTTCTAAATTGTTTTGCGGCACTGAGGTTCTTCCTGCCCCAGACATCCGCGGCTGCTGGGAATCGATAAGGACTGGGAACCTGGTTCACACCTGCGCAGGGCTGGTGGCATCCCGCTTGCTTTCCTTCAGCCAAAACAAATGTCAGAAGCATCCGAGGTGTGCTTTAGGTCATCTTTAATGTAAACTGTGCCTGTGAAGGGTGTCAAAATATTTTATCTGCGTACCTATTGAGGATACTCAGTGCCTTTGAATTTTCCGGTGTGTTTCGGATCTCAGTTAGAGCTTCTGACTCACCCTGTCAAATATTTTATCACCATTTCTCTCCCCCCCCCCTAAAAAAAAAATAAAGCTAGTGTTAATGCTGCATTTCAAAGGCAATTATTTGGCTTTCAACTTTACCCTTCGGTATTTGCATACCAGATACTGCAGCGCTGTGCCAGTACATGACTATGGGAAAAAGAAACTGGTTGTAAATCAGGCGGAATCAAAGCAAAGCGGAGTAGCCAGTTTTCGCTGCTTACGTGGACGACTACACTGTCGATCTACTTAAGGATATATAAAATACGTTAAGTCTAGGCTATGAGTCACAAATCCTTTTTTTTTTTTTCTTTCCCTCCTTTTTCAGGGTTGTTCCGCGGGGTTTTGTTTGTTTGTTTTTAAATCCGGTTCCGCTTTCTGTGGTGTTTTCCTTTTAGCGGAAGATCCCGCATTTACGTTCCGAAAACATCTTGCCTTTAAACCTGATTCTCATGACCCTTTCTTTGGTGAGCTGGTACTAGTTACCCCCATGACTCGCTTCATTCTCAGACATCTCTTTACCTGTGGCCACTGGATAACACTTGGGGAAAATCCTAGATGCTGTTGTCTGATTAATTTTCATCCTCAAATTAGTTATTCACTTTTCTAGGGGACTATTTTGGTTTAACACCCCCTTAGGGTAACAGTGGGGATTCCACTGCGCTTTCCCAGACTCCAAGGGTTCCATCCCAGTTACCTGTATGGTTTGGGTAGCCCCACGTGAAGCTTTCAACAAACCCCTAAAGCATAATCCTGGATGGGACAGCCTCCTCGGCCTCTGCAGCAGCACCCGGCACCTAACGATGTCAAAATACCGGATAAACCTCAAGGACTAATTGGCATTTATCATCCTTAACCCGAGCAGTGCATCTCTGAAATACCGGTGGATGTTCATACGGAGAAAAAAAAAAAAAAAAAAAAAAGAATTGAAGGTTGAACCGAAATGAAAATGAAGGCGGAAGGGCGTAAAACATATATCTTTCGAAGCAGTGGTGACTTGGTATGAGATAATTTATTCAGGTGTATGTAAGCGGAGTACTCCCTAGGCTTTATTTCTCATTTCCAAGAAAGTCCTGGCAGGGTGACACATTGATGTCTTTTAGGAGATTACGGAGGCTTCAGTGTAATATTTAAGACACTGTCTTGAGAAAAAATTGCTTTTTGCAGTGTCTCGGTGGAGGGCTCAGTAATGCGTTTTGTTCCTACAAACAGGTATTGCGGTGGTGACAAGTTTTATTTGTTTTTCAGCTGTTCTTACGGACAATTTCATCATCTTGTCATTTGAGGACCATAACCAACTCTGCTTTATTCAGTTTACAAAGAAGATGGATTCTCCCGATGTAAACAAGAGACTGGAAAAACTCTCTTGTTTGGACTTTAAGGTATAGCTGTCGTTGGTGACTGTAAATACTGCAGTAACTTCACGTCGCGAATCGCTGGTGCTTGCTGATAACGTCTAGCGGTATAAATTGCAAACCTTTATATAACCGATGAGAACAGCTCCAATTCTAAAACCGGCAGTCATTGAAAAGTCAAAAAAAAAAAAATTACATGGCGTTCTGAGTTAATTAATTAAAATACTGTGCCAAGAGGGATCCAATTTTCTACCGTATTTCAGTTAAGGGCTGAGCCGCACAGTTGAGTTACCCCTGCTTAACAGATTACCTCCTGTCAGTTGAGCAGCAGTAACTGACCCTTTGCACATTCTCAGCATCTAACAAGCATGAAGCGAAATCTGTAATGGTAAACCTCAGTGTAAAGGATTTAAGCTAATGTGTTTTACCTCTTGTTTGCTGTGGGCTAAAAATGCACGCATGGTCAATTACTATGGCTCGGCTGATATACACAAACTCATGAAGTTATGATAATTCAGTCGTCTGCCTGAGCTCCAAGACTGTTGTAATTCTTTGCAGAAATCTTAATTTTCCCTCTAGTTACGGTGACGCTATTGTTGGGAGAGCTGGTTTTACAATTAAGCCGCTGAGCTAGGACTCAAGATACAGAAGCGGAGTTTCTCGCCGCTGACAAAGGATGTGCGTGACCTTCGGCAAGTGACTTGGTGCCTCTGTATCTCAATTCACCGCTTCCGCAGTGACGATGAAAATACTCCTTTTTTCTCCCCCCCCCCAGCCCTTTGTGTATGGGTGTATCTATACCCATCACAGCAGTAGCGGAAAGGTAGTCTGGGGGTATCTGAGCTGGCTTTAAACTAGCCGGTTTGGATGTGGGTGAAAACCAGCTCATCTCAAACTGAATTACACCGTGTCTTGGGGTGGATTGGGTCTGCCTAGACGTAACTTATTTCGACCGTCAGCCCTTTGACATGGGGGCAGGGGGCTGACCTTCGGTGGAAGCGCTCGGTGCTCCAACAGGACGACAAAATAATCAGCCAAAGGCAATTAACTTTGACCGGGCGGAGCAGGAAAGGGGCTGCGTAGAATTCGCTGCAAGAATGAAGGAGAGAGAAGCCTTTGCCCAAGAAAGGTCGAAAGATGTAGTAAGCAAAAGGGAGAGTTTGTGTTTATTTCAGACTGGATAAATATTAAGGAAAACAATCCACTGCTAGCAAATATTTTCCCCTTGACAACCCCTCCGTATTTCGCTTCCTCACATAAGGGGAGTTTGCATCTGCAAGGCAAGCTTTTTAAGGATGTGTTTAATTTAAGTTTTGCCGTATTCCCTTTTAACTTGCTTGGTAGAAATATTTTCTGCTAGGATGAATATCTAATACATTTTCCAGGCTGTTTCAGTTCAGGGCCTCTTTTCAGCAATGACTTGTGTTTGCGAGATTGATCCAACCTCTATAACGTGGATTTGAGACAGTTCACTGTTCACCGGGAACTGAGCTGATACGTCGTTTACTTTAAAATTACGGGTGCTTGTGCCTGGCCTACGGTGTCTGTAAAGGTCGTGCTTTAGAAGCGAGGGCGGTGTGTGGTCCAGGGTGGTCTTTTTGAATAGCTTTATCTTTAACGAAGAAGTCGTGAGCTGAAGAGTACCTTCCTCATTTAATTGTGAGAGCCATAGCTCCTCACTTAAATTACGTTTAGAAAATAGATTTTCATCCTGGGTATCGCTGGGTGCGTTTTGGGTCTCATGGTTGCGGCTTTTTTTTTTTTTTTTTTTTTCTTGGGAAAGAAGGAGAGCCTAATCCATAGAAAACTCTCTCTGCCCTCGGAAACCAGAAATATCTGCTGTACTCCTTAATAGGGTTGTTATGTTCAGTTCTTTGCTGACACAGCTGAGCTTCTAGAAACGCCTCCGTGTTCAATGTTAACTTTGCTTTCTCTTGAAATCAGTGGGAATCACTATGGATTATTGCTTTGCCAGCCAAAAAAAGGCATTTGCATTTTTTAATTGAATGTTCTTTTGTGTGAAGCTCGCTAGTTAGGCAGCTAAATATAATTTTTATTATCTTCAAAATTGCACCGGCGTGAGCCAGCAGAAAGTATTATTCACTGCTGCAATAATATTATGTCAGCTCTCTGCATTGAATTAGAGTTCTTTAGGGCTGCTTTTGGTCAAACTTACAGAAGCTAAAAGATCACAGACGCAGTCAACAGTAGCGTCGCGATCAGTTGTAACAAAAGAAACAAAAGATGCTCCTCAATTGCAAGTGTGCAAACTTGCAACAATACAGGCTTTAGGAAAAAAAACCAGTCCCTTAGTGTTGATTTTGATTTTTTTCCAAGAGAAATTGAGTGAAAAGGTGGCTTGCCCTGGTATAAAACTGCCACGGGATTAAAACGGGGAGCTAAGATTCAGAGAATTTGAGTGTAACCTTCATCTCTGCCTCTGACATTTGGTACAGCCTTGAGAAGAGTACGTAGTATTTGGGTTTAAATTCCCATTTCTAACATGAGGGAAATGCTTGCTTCCGATCATATGTGATGATATAATTAAATTTCCGTCGTACTTACCTTGTCATTTCTTTGGTACCTGGCTGGAAGCAACATCACACTGCTCACGGTCCAGCCTCATGGTGGGCAAAATTGGCAGGGAACGTGAGGCAGTACTGGGTTGCCGGAGTGCTAGTAGTAATAAGAACAAGTCAACCACGCTTTTCTCCTCGCAATTTGATATTTATCCAAAAGTCTTTTCTTTTTTTCACACGATACATACCTAAGGGGAAGAATTACTTTCTCTGTCCTCTTCCTTTCCAACCGATGCCACCTTGGATTTAATTTACACTTTGACAAAAGAAAGGAAGACTTATTGACTGAATCTCTACAGCCTTAAGAGCAGCAAAATGTAAAAACAACTCTTACCGTCTGCGTTTTCTCAGTGGCGTTAGCCCACCTTTGGCAGTGCCACGTCTAATGCGAGATGTAAAGGTTTACGAAAGATTTCTGACTGTTATGACAGGTGAAACTATTACGAACAGGTAACTCTGCAATACGGCACTAATTAATATCTGTGAAAGTATTTGTGTTTTTCCATCCTAATCAGTGCGTTGTCACCAAATCAACTCGTTATATATAGCTTTAATTCAAGTGTCAGCTACCTGCTAACTTTTATGTACGTTTTATCTTTACACTTCTAAAGAGTATTTTGACAAGTCAAAGACAGGATATTCTGCAAATACTGACCTTTGGCAAGTTTGTCCCGTCTGTGGTTTTTTTTAATCCATTTCAATTTACTGAAGGAGGAGACAGTACAAGGAGTTAAATGTTTACCGTGAGAGAACAACATTGGTAATTACTTTGATTTCAGTTCCTTTTGATGTGTATTCAGGGGATGAAGAGGTCAATAATATTATGACCATGCAAATAGAAAAGGGTTCTTTTTGACCGTATAAAAAAACCGGCAAAGGATTATTAAAGCATTAACCTTGATTTTAATGGCCTTGGTTGAGTGGTGAGATCACAATTTGGATGAGCCTGATTATTTACTAAATACAATACATAAATGCAACGGGTTCTTAACACCCATTGCACTCTGGCATTATCGCATTACTGCCATCCTTTGTTGCCTTGCAGACAGGAATATGAAAGCAATCTGTCATGTAGTGAGACTGGCTCCAGAAGCATTTCTCTGATAAGAAGACCCCCTGCCCTTTGCTAGTGTCTGGTCCAGTAGGCTTAGCCATGCGCTTAATCCCCAGAAAGTGGTTCGATTATTGCTGACCAGCAATGGCAAGATAGTTTTTTTTTCCCCTAGCTATCAACCTTCCATTAATTCCTTAAGCAGAAATGCGGTGCAATCTATATTTCCTTGGCATGTGTCACCCAGATGGTGCACCGCTCATGTTTTCAAATAACCATGCTCCAAAATAACAGAGTTTGAATAATAAATTCCGCAAATCCTTCCTGAGAAAGGAGGCACAATTCTCAAGAGCTGCATAAACTTTACGCATGATGCTGTAGCTCATCCACATTATGCAGAGAAGTATATATTCTCTTGCAAAGCGGAGGCTTGTATCTGGATTCCTTAATTTAGGGAGGAAAAAGGAAGATATATGTTTGCTCAAACACTGTTGAATATATTTAATATTTGATTACGTCTTAAACACTAGCCTTAGCTCCCTGGTCAGCTTTGCAGAACTTGTCATTTAATATGGCTAAGCTTAAATCCTACGTGTAGGTCGATGCTGTCAAGCAACCATGACTGTACATTTTGGTATTGATTGGAGTCATTGCAGTAAATTCCTTCTTAACTCACATGCCTTTCCTTCCCAATCCCCTCCCCGCAGATAAAAGTGTGAGCGTGTCTTTTTCCGTCCGAGGAGATATTTTTTTACATTTACAGACAGCCTATATGAAGATATTCCTACGCAGTCCTCTCTGTATATATATACGTTCTTTCACACATCCAAAGTAAACGCTCCCAATTGCTCCTACTGTGCTATTTCATCACCTCAAACGTTTTCCTGCATTTTCTTTTTTTTTTTTTTTTTTCCTTCCATCAGATTTCTTACATTGATCTGCTTGGGCCGGAAGGTAGAAGGATGACACGTCACCTGGCAATAAACGGTACGCAAGATATGGTCATTTGCTGGTGGTCAGCCGTTAGCCATGGAGCGTGGCCTTGGTCGCCTATTTCCCGTGAGAGGGACAGAGCCAACCTATTGCTGTTAGGCTGTGCGCACGGCAAATTGGAGGTAAAGTGCCGAACTCTCTTCTTACATCATTTTTCGCATTTGTTAACGAAAGAACTGTTCCACCTGTAAAGGCGTATGCGGGCAGACACGAAGGACAGATGTGCTGAAAGTGTAAGAAAGGCAGAGCAGCCATTCTAATCTGAAAAGCCAAAGCTCGTTTTGCAATGGAAAAAAAAGCACCTTAGTTGGTACGTTTACCTTTTCCACATCAAAACTGGCAATCTGAGAAACGTAGCGAGGAAGTGAGGTCCTTATAACGGAATAGCTTTGGAGCTGCTGATGCTAAAAAGCGTCAGTACCGCTAGAAAACTTGAATCTGAGTGAGGAACTGTAGCTGTTGCGTGCTTGTCGAATGCAGTTGTTTTACGTAGTCTGCAATGATAACTGATAGGCATTTCACAGCTATTTCAGGTGGTTTATTGTCAAATTTTAGCTACACCCAGATGCTGCTGCTTAAATTGTTGCTATAAGTACTGATCACATCAAGGACCGATTTTGTTTCTTAAAGAAAAACACAAAATTCCCCATCCACAGGTGGGAACGTGAGCTACAAGTTAGAACAAGGCTCCGAGCTGACCCTCTTTCTGACACTTGCTTAGCTTTACCTTTCTAGGCAGATCTTTCCATTTCATCTCTTTCTTCTTTATTTCTTCTGTTTAAGAATACCTGAAACCAGTTCCTTGTGTTCGGTAAAAACCTTAAAGATGAAGCTACCTGGGCATACTGTGAAAAGAACCGGCGCCTGAATTTAAAATGGAAAAGCTGTTCTGGACCAGCATCTCATATAGATGCTCCTATATTTGGAGTTTTCTTTTTAGTTTAGCTTAAGCCACTGCTAATATGGACTAAAAAGGCACTGACTGTGGGAGAAGAGCACAAACTTGAGGTTCAGCTGGGGAATAGCTGTTTTGGAGCACCTATTACAGGCTGTTTCCCTGTGGGGAAAAACCCTAAGTAACACTTTAGAATAAGCTGCTCTTATAAACAACATCCTGTTCTCTTTAATTAGGGACGATGTAAATGTTTTAATGTCTTGGAATTATTGCTTTGATAACTAATATTCATTTCAGTGAGGGTTTTTTTTCCCTTGGGATTTTCTATGTATTGAAAGCCAAAAAAAAAAAAAAAAAAGGGTAGTTGAGACAGCTTTTTCTTATTTCAGTCATTAGTCCCTGTAGAATTTAAGTTCGAATTACCTCCAGTTCTGCCGCCTTTACTTCTTTTCAATTGACCTCTCTCCACCGGCGGTCATCTTTGACTCATCTCTCTCCTCTGCCTGATACCCACCTGCGGTTCGCGATTCCCCCTGCAGCTATGCCCAACCACCTCTAAAAAATGGCTCGGGTAGCTGAAACGCGCGTCTCTTCTTTGCGAGTGTTTTCAGCCTAACCCCCGCGCCAGTTCAATGGTACGAAAGCTCAGCCTTACTAACATTTCACATCTTCTTTCTTACCGGGGACACCTGGGTTCTGGCAGCGACGTTCTCATGCCTTTTGGTTCGTCCCCACCTCTTCCGGAAAGCTCCCGAATGCCAACGTAGCAGTTTACAATCTCTGTTTTCTGAGGTTTTTTTCGAGACTTATTGCTTCTAAGAAATCCACAGAAACCACCCGGTCACTTTAAAGCGTTCTCCGTTTCATTTTATATATTGTAGGGAGATTTCCAAATTACAGCATCTTCCAATGCACCTTGTTTTATCCTTTTCTGGTTCAGACTCTTAAATTGCTCAGGGCTGAGGCTGTCTAGTATAGTCCCAAGCACATCACTGGTGCTTAACACAATAACGATAATAAGCATTCCCTCAGCCTTTAGGCCTAAACTCATAATCCTTTTAATTTAACCCATATTGTAATATAAATAGAAGAAAATGATTTTTAAAAGCAGAACTGCCAGATTTAACTGTTTGGTTGCTTTCCCTTTTCTCATCCTTTGACTGTACTTGTCTGCTTTAATTCTAAGATCTTTGGATGAACTTTCTTTTCCTGTATTTGGCAATAAAATAGCGAGTGCTGTGCCAGGCCTATGGAAACCTTAGTGGTATATAGATCACAAACTATCTCGCCAATTAGGCTGTTCCATGTTTTTATCTCTTGGATGCTCAGTGGGCTGCTGTGTAAAGGCTTAAGACGCTCTGCCTATACGCTTCCCCTGTGTATCCGTGATGTGTATAACCTGTGGTACTGTTTGTTGTTGATTTTTCTTTTTTTTTTTTTTTTTTCCATGATTTCTCTAGCGCTCCTTACGGGCGGTAGTTGAAATTCCCGTGCGTGGACGGGGGATGTCATAACCCAGCAGCTCTAGAAGAAGCGTCGACCCCCAGTCGGCAATTAACTGAAGTGCCTTTTTCCCCTGCAGAGTCTTGGAGGGGAACTTTAACTTAACACCCTGAACTTCTGAGGGTCATTTGATAGCTTAAACATGAGCAAAAGCATAGGTAGTGTTTCTAGGCAGCTTCTAAACTAGGTCAGATACCCCAAAAATATAGTGTTTCTGTAAGCATGCTTAGTTGCCTCTACTCCCTTACCATTTCTAGAGTTCCTCAGATATAGACCTGGAAGAAAAACGTGATGTGCCATTGTTATGCATGAAAGTAAATCCATATTTATCATATTTGACCAATAACGTGCATTTTCTCCCGGTAAATAATTATTGTCAACAGAAGAAGAAGGATGAGAAGCATGAACTGATTCGGTGTGGAGCATTTATCAAAAAGAAGTGTAGTAATACCAACATTTTACTTGAAAATAGTAGCATCGCTTGGATGGGACAGCGTTATTGTCTAGAATTAAGAGAAAAGCGGGGATTGCTGAATGTCTAACCCGTATGTTTGGCACATTGGGTTTATGAAAAAGTAATCCAAGCCTGGGGAGATGAGCGGGTGCTGCCCACAGCTGTTGTGTAGACCCTTGGTGCCCACCTACGAAACCCGCAGGAAGATGTGCCGGCTGCCAACACGCCTGTTGGTGTGGCAGAGCGAAGGGAAACGGGGTGTTTAGGGGATGCTGCTTCCTCCCTGGAAGAGTTTTCGGGGTGGTGTTCGCTGGCCACCAGAAGAGCGCTTATTAGGAGAGGAACAGCTCTGGGACAAGGCGACTCAACCGGGATGCTGTCCCGTACCTGCGCGTTCTGCGTTGGCATGATTCCCGTTGCACGTACAGCGTTTGGGGTATTGCGTGCTTAACGCAGCTTTTCAACTTCATGGAGGAAATATGCATTTTACATTTTCAACAGGCTGTAAACGGGATTGGAATTGTGCTGGGTGGCTTTATGTTTTAACGTTTGCAACTATTAAGGTTAAAGGTAGACGTCATTCCTCTAAAACCAGAAAGTACTTTTTCCTTGCACATCTTGGCTTGGTTTACTCCCTTTTTTTTTTTTATTTTTTTCATCTGAGATCAGTGTTTACTCTGTTAAATGCTCTAGGTTTTGGGGAGGAATCCTCCCCTGAAGAAAGAAAAGTGCTTTTCTGTTTAACACACGACTTCGCTCCGGTGGGCCGTGTATGTTTATGCGTGGGGACTCGCGTTGCTGCAGCACTGTGTGCCTGTGGAACCTTTGTCTGCTCTCTTGCCTGCATGGGTTTCCTCTGGGAAACTCATCCGTGCTCCCATTTATTTATTTAATTAGTCGGGGATTTGTTTGTTTCTTCTTTGTTGAAGTACCAATGATCGAGGACGTTATTTCAATTGTCTCCCTGCGGAGATAATGCCGGTGTTTTGATTTCGAAACCAGGAGAGGAATCTTCCAGAAATCATTTTGAACCATTTGCTCTGCATAAAGAGGATCTGATGTGAAATCATCCTCGGATTAAATGCTTTGAGAGAAAGTCGTGTTAAAATCAACATGAACTTTATTCTGCAAACATAAATTACCAGGAGGTGATGATGCCGGGGCTTAGTTACTGTAGTACTTTGCATTTGTCTTTGCCATGTTTATTTTCACTCCATTTAGTGCTAGTGCGAATGACTGAAATTATACTTCAATCTCGTGGAAAAAAATAATTTGCCTGGGAGAAAATATGATTTCTCTTTCTCCCGAGAGACAAGATTTCATAGTTATTGCTTCCACGTTGTGCCTCAAACTCGCGAAATAAACACGGTGGGTCTTTTAGGAGTGAGCTATCCTACAATGACTGCAGCGCTCGGAAGAAACGGCTACGGCGTGTGAGTGAATAGCTGAAATACCTCTCGCACACGTACAGCAAAGAATGTCAAATCCTCGATGTCACGTTGGGTTAAAAGTTCAATGAATAATACGGGATAAAGACGATGACGATACGTTTTGAAAGAAAATGAGAATAAACGTCGGCTGAAGATCTAAGTAATAAGATTGCGTGTGGGACTGCAAATACAACGCAGGCGAATAAGTAACCTAGAGCAGGAGCCTTGCATTTTTATTTTAGAAATGTTTAAAAATAGGACTGTATTTTTTTTTTCTTCTGTCTTCACAGTGCTGTATTTAAAACTGTTTTACTCTAGCGTGCGCTGCGCTTCCCACTCTACATTTCTAATTAAAGTGTTTGTTGTTATTTGGAGCCTGGCTGTGTGAAATTAAAGAAGCGTTGTTTTTTTTTAACACCCATAAAATAAATCAAACATTTTTCCCATCTGAAAGACACACAATTCAGTCACAGCAAGCTTATTTCTCTGTTTCTTTTGTTTTCTTTTCTGTATCTGCCTGGTAAGCCAATTTTCTGCTTAAGAACTACTGGTTAAAACTCTTATTTGTTTTGATATGTGGACTTTATCCTTTCCCAGCACTCTATGCAAAATACTTCAATTTTAAGTGTTCAAAGATTTGCACTGAAGAGAGTGATACTACCCACACAAGCCAGTGCTATTATTTCTTTCAACTTTAAACCGAAAGAAAGTATTTTAACTAGCATAATTCAGGCCCCTTATTTACTAAGATTAACAGATTCTTTTACTTGGATCGTTGCGATTTCTGACTCCACGGTTTGAGCCCTTGACGTGGATCGTGTCCCTCGTGCCGCTGATGAGCCGAAATGCGCTGTAATGGTGCACAACTGCCACGGTAATAAGGGAAATGTGCCTAAATTGTGTGGACAGTATTGAAATACATTTCCTACATTTTTGTAGCGTGCATGTCACAATACTAAAAAGGACTTTTAATATTTTTTATTATTAATTATTATTATTTAGTTATGTATTTTACAGAAAGTAATTGGTTTTCCTTCATGCAGAGTACCTCCAGAAATCTCCCCTTGAAATCCAGGGCTAACTGCTTAGTCCCGAGATGTATGGAAAGCGCTTAACGTGGAATGGGATTCAACGCCGCGCCGTGTGATAGTACGGCTCGGTCTTTGTCGATCCGCTGCCCTCTCCTCGTTTCGGCAAATCCAGCACCTGTCCTACCCGCTGCCGGGGATCTCCTCCAGCTTTTGCCTTCCCCTTCCCCAAGCGAACGTTTGGTTAACTTCAAGATATATATTGCTGTTTTAACGTTCCCCTTTAGGCTTCCAGAGGAGTACTGCTCACCGGGAGGGAATCCCAGCAGGTTCTTTTAAACGGACTGCTCACGCACTACGTGCACTACATTCACTGGCGCGTGGCTGCTTCCCAGATTGAAAAACCATTGGCAGGCGATGGAGTACCATCTTCTTGGGGGGAAAAAAAAAAAAAAAGATGTTTTGATTTTTGGAGTTCTTATTTTTCAAAAGCATTATCTTAAGCCTTATTAACATGTTTTTGTAGCTTTGTATCTCTCCGCTTTAGTTTTCTGGTTAGTGGCATGAAGAATTAATAATAAAAGTCACTTCTGACAGAGAAACTCAAATCTTCCCTCTCAGATGAAAGAGAATATCCATTATTTTTTTTCCCCCCCTTCAGAGTGCCAAATACCGGTTACATTCAGCAAAACTGGAAACCAGAACAAAGAGGTCTCTGGGCTTGGTACTCTTCCTCCAAGAGGCACATGAGGCCACTGATGCATGAGAAGCAGCTTATCTGTTCCAATCTAAGGAGAAATGTTTCTCTTGTTTTCAGCCAGAATGCGAACAGCGGTGTCGAGAAAAAAGTTCCCTTTAAGCCTAATTTGTTTAAACGTTATGTCAAAACTTCCGTTTTGAAATGCAGCGAGTAGTCTTTCTCTCCTCGCGGGAACTTTTCCCTGGTTTAGAATTGCGTTCTGTACAGCAACCAGCCCTACCCTCGCCTTCGTTTCAAGGATCTGCTCTCAAAACCCTGTGAAGCTAGGGAACTTCTCATCTCAAGGCTCATTAAATTAGCCTTCCACAATACAAGGTTGTGCTTTCTTTTAAATTCAAAGTAGCGAGCAACGTTTTGTCCCGCTTCTCCTCTAAGAAGGCAGAACAAAATTATTAATTGGATTCAGTTTGGTTGCTGGCTCTCGAACGATCAGATGGCAACGTTTACTTTTCTGTGACCATTTCCATCGCTGTTTTTCAGCGGTCACTCCTATGCAATTCTAAAATCCATTTTTTTCAGGTGTTTTCTTCTCTATTGTCTTAAACGTCAAGGCCAGTCTCTCTTCAGTCTTTCACCTCTCGTAGGCTTGAGTGTTGTGTGGATCTTCATGACTTGCTTGTAGCTTACGCGGAGGTGTCCAGAGAGGAACGCTGGGTTTGCATCAAAATACAGAGATGAATAATGCAGTGCATTGAAACCTGCCACAGGAAGACAGAAATCTGAGTCCCAGAGGGCCTCAAGGCTCATTTCACTGAAGTTACGGAAGCTTTGAAGACTTGCTTGGGCAAGATTTCTATTTCACATATTTGAAAGGCAGCTACCTGGGTCTCTAGACATACTCTTAGGGAAAACTGCAGAAGAACTAATAACACTTCACCTTGCCTTTATTTGGGGTTACAGAGCTCTGTGGTCACAGTAATCCCGTGTCCACAATAACCTCTTTTAAGGGTTTCCTTGCTATGCAATTTAACACCCTCGTAAGCTCCACGTCTCAGCAGTTCTAACGTCTGCGCGGTACCCACTGCACATCTTGTGGGCATAAGTGACTAGTTGCGGAGGCTAAGTCATTAGCGAGGGGATGGTGGAGACGAGAAAAAGTTTTTCAGGCTATAGAAGTAATTTAAATCTTTTATTTCCTCTTTGGTAGATATCTTCGTTGATCGCTACTCTTCCTTGAAAGCAGTTCACTTGGTTTTCACAAGTTGGATGCATTCTTCTATTAAATTATTTCAAATTAAATATTCTCTGTTAAATTATTTTGCATTAGGTGCTTTTTTTTGTATGTCCCCGACTACTCATCTTAAACTAGCTAAGACTTTTGTATTAACCGGCAGCTCTGCAGAATTGCAAGAATCCTTTTTTCTTTCTTTTCAATGAGAAGCCCTTTTGCTGACAAAATAAGTAAACTGTCAAAACAAAACATCCTAATCAGTCTGATCAACGTCCTGAATAACTTGTTTATAAATTCATCGGTTGCTTCTGAAGTAATGGGTGGTATGCCAAAAAAAAATAATCTTAATTTCTTATTCTCCTCCTCTGCAGGATGAAAGGCTAAATTATACATTCAGTCGGTCTTATGATCTGGGGAAATCAACTTGAAACTGCTTTAAAGTTATGTGTGCATTTCTTGTTTTCAACCTGAAATTTCCAAACTTCCTCCCTCGCCTTCTCTCTGCCTTTTAATCGCGTTTGTTCCCCCTTTCTGTGTAAATGGTACTTGCACGCCACCTGGACTCAAAAGAAGGGGCTTCCAAAACTAGTGGCGGGTCAGCAGCTTTAGTTTCCAGCGTGAAGAATGCCGTGGGTACACCTGAGGGTGGGGTTTGGCTCGGTTTGACATTTTCCTTTCATTCTTTATTTCTGCATGAACGAACACCGGCAGGTTTCTGACTGATTTCTGCTACTCTCATCCTTCTAGAGGCATTCTTCTTCCCTCTCTTTCAGAGAACTGTTTTTTTTATAAGCCAGTTGGTAACTTTTTTAACAGCTGGTACTTCTCCCACACTTTCCCTGCTCAAATCCCACGTAATACCTCTCGCTCAAACCCACATATTGTAGGATGTGAAGCTCCATCAGACTGCACCGCCGCCTCCATCACTTTATGGTACTTCCCGTGCTTCCACGCTACAAATCCTTGCTCTTGGCCAGCTGCTGTCTTTGCATTGTATTCTGCCGCCTTCTGTGTTCTTCTTCCGGTTCATTCAACCTTCAAGTACCCCTGAACGGTCCCCCCTTTTCAGCCATCACAAATTCTTTTTTTTTCTGCATCTAAAGCTATACGGCACCAAAGAACATCTACCACCTACTCATTTGGCAATGTATAGCACACATTGTTTAAACATGCCATCGTTTCTACCACTATGGTGTAATGTTTTCTGTTACCATGGCCCAGAGCAAATGATCAAAAATGCTCTACGTGTGATGCTCAGAGTAACCTATTATTGGGGTTTTTTCCAGAAGTTTTTGGGATTTCTCCCCCACCTCACTTGTGAATAATCAGTTATTCTTTTCTATCAGCCAACTGCTCATTTCTCCTCTCACCAACACTGTTAGGACCACCCCCTCTTTTATTTTCTATTCTGCTAACCTATTATATACTCTGGACAAACAAATATGGCTCGAACTGTATCGCAGGGTTTTTTAATCAAAGGTATTAACCTTTTAAAAGTTAAACCAGTAGATTTTACAACTCCACTTCTAAAATGTGTGTTTGTTTGAACTTGCTGACCCATGAGAAAGTGCATCGGCAGCAGTCTGCTTTTTAAATCATCAAAATAAGAATAAAGCGTTACGAATGACCGCCAAAACGTTTCAGATATTTTTATTTTTTTTTTCAGGTTCTGAGTTACGTCCGTACAGAATGGGATCCGCTCGACGCTCGCTTCAGCACTAACCAGCCTTCTCAGGTTTACACGGTAGAGCACTCCGTCTCCGCAGAGAGAGAGCCCATGGCCGACAGCTGCGTCTACAAGTGTGTTAGGAACAAAATTCAGTGTGCGGCAGTCACCCGAATACCGCTACGAGCCAAGGCCGTCAGCTGTTGCAGAGACGCGACAGAAGACAAACTGGTCCTGGGTTGTGAAGATTCGTCAATAATTCTGTACGAAGCCTACAACCAAGTGACTCTCTTAGCCCAAGCAGAGCTGCTGCCGGCCTTGATAACCTACCACCCTTCTGGAGCTGTGTTTGTGGTTGGCAGCTCTCAAGGGGAGCTGCAACTTTTTGACACGGCACTGTCCCCAATTAAAATTCAGCTCTTGGCACAAGACTATGCTCCTGAGGCGACCCTGCAATTCAGTAAACATTTGGACGTGCCTAGCAGCCTCATCCAGATCCAGTGGGCTGCTCCTCCAGTCGCATCTGCCAGCGCTGACGGCGCAGACGTTCACGATCTTTTGTTGGTCAGATTCGACAAAGGACCCTTCGGAGCGCTTCACTTTAAACTTGGTAAGTTGCTGAGCACATCTGCGGAACACTGAGCTCTCAAGGAAACATCTGTACCTCACAAGGGTTTTTTTTTTGTAGTTTGAAAGCAACACCCTCATTTTAGATACATGGGACCGTGCCCATGGTAGTTCCAATGGTATCTGAAGATGTGAAGCAAGGAGTTAATTATGTTTCACAATTACTTAGTACCTTTTCATATGGGGTCTGACAGAATAGGACCCCAGTCTGTTGTTGGATCAGGGTCCCGTTACGTTCCCTGCTACCCTAACAAAGCGTAACAACTTCTCTTACTGAAAATTCTTTCGCTCTGTAGTATGTCATTTTAGGAGTTGTATTCATTCTGTAGTAATACTCCTAACAAGCTAAAATAAACTATATTTAACAATAGGGTAGTAACGCCGTTTTCTTTCGTAAATTAATTTTTGCATGTGTGATGCAACTGTCCTTTCCATTACAATGTACATTTGTCCCAATACTCTGTTCTTCCTGGCTTCAGTACGTGAAGTTACACCATTTCTTTCCTTGAAGGCTTTTCACACAAGAAGGAAGGTTTTCATAACCTTCAGAGAAGTTTGGTCTCTCAGCTGGTTTGCCAGGAGCTGTGAATAAAAGACAAAGTACTAAGAGCCGAGGAAGGACTTTTTACAAGGGCATGTAGAGGTAGAACAAGGGGGAATGGCTTCAAACTGGAAGGAGGTAGATTTAGATTAGATATTAAGAAGAAATTCTTCCCTGTGCGGGTGGTGAGCCCCTGGGGCAGGTTGCCCTGAGAAGCTGTGGCTGCCCCATCCCTGGAGGTGTTCAAGGCCAGGTTGGACGGGGCTTGGAGCAACCTGGGCTGGTGGGGGGTGTCCCTGCCCAGGGCAGGGGGGTGGAGCTAGGTGATCTTCAAGGTCCCTTCCAACCTAAACCATTCATGATTCTATGATTCTAATACAAATTTTGAAATTTATATACCACTTCTCAGTTTAGGTGTAAGGAGAGTAAAGCCGTAACTCTTCATTTTACAAATGGGATAACAAGCAGCAGTAAAGGAAGGCTAAAAGGCTTTCCAAGAGTTCCACGACGAGTCGGTGACCACACTAAGAATAAAAACCCCATCGGTGAGAGCTGTATTCATTCCGTTCAAGTCAGCGTAGTTACAGTGGTGCAAACCCACTGTGAGAGCTAAAAAACCAATCGTGCTTCAATCTTCCGACTCCCGAGCCAGTGTCTGAGCGGGGCAGACAGCCATGTCGAATATACTCCTCCTGGAAAATTTCAGCATTTTGCCCATTGTCTGTCCAAGGAAACAGCATCGCCTTTGTTGCCCTTTACAGGAGGTTTTGGTTGTTTTTTTTTTTTTTATGATTCATTTGTATAAAGCTACTGAGATTAGGAAGAAGCCTTTTTTTTTAAAAAAAAAAGCCCAAAACAAAACTAGGTGACAATGAAAGTTGAAAATCAACTTCTTTACTTACTGAGACATGCATGTGCTTTTTGGGGGCGGGGGGGAATCCTGTCTAAAAGTTCTGCACACCTAAACGTTTGAAAAACTGAATTGAAAAAACTTAACTAGGTGTGCCACTGCAAAAAAGGTAAATTAATATAACAGGATGTTAGCAGCAGAAATGCTGGATTGACTTAGAGCTGTATAGTTTTAAAAGAGCCGATCCAGATTATTGCGGTTATCCAAAAAAAAAAAACCAAAAAACCAACCCTATTAAAAAACTGTTTGCAAGTTATCGTTTATTTTGAGATAATTCAGCTGCATTATGTTCAACGACAGGTTTAATAGTTGAACACTAATTATAACGGCTATTTGATGTTTTCATGCGTGTTGGCCATTAAAAAAAAAAAACCCCTCTAAATTACCTCTTACCTGTCAAACAGAAGGCACTCTACCCGCATCTACCTTGCTTTTCTCCAGCCCTCCCTTGTGGGGTTTTCTCACAACAGCTTTCCGGAAAGCACAGCTTTCCCCTTGCTATCTTTAGCACATTTATGTTCTTACCAAGGCAAGCAGGCTCTCAGTACAGGGATTTAGAGGCCTTTCCCGCTAATTGCCAGCTTGTAAACTTAATTGGACTGTCTCCCTGGGCACCGTTCCTAAATCAATTAGGCAGCCAGTTGGCTGTCACCTCTTTTTCCCAAGCAGGTTGCCTGGAAGCGCACCACCCCGGAGAAGTCAAGCATCCAAATGGGAAGATGTTGACCTCTACAGCTGAAAGTTATCACTTCGTAAAAATTCATTCTGTATAATTGCTGTAAAAAAAAAAAAAATCTCTTCTAGGAGGAAGGCAAAGCTCTCTCTGTCCCTCCCTCCCTCTTTTTGTAGTCTGCAAATGTCCCGTTCTCTGTCGCATCCTGAGTTTCAGCTTTACCCCTCTTCTTCTCCGTTGGCCGCGCTACCGAGGTAACGCTGCGGTGATCAGTCAGCCCCTCTCCCCAACCTCAGCGGTTTTTAGGTCTCTGCTATCGAAGAAATAATGCAAATACAAATCGTACGGAAAATTTAAGGGTCCGTGACGGCAAAACCCAGACAGGCATTTAGGGCTGAAATAAAATCCGTAATTAACTCACGGCTTGGAATTGTTTCCCATAAAAGACTGTTAAGAAACTCTGCCAATGAGAACAGGCAAATATGTTTTTAACTTCCAGCTGACGTATTATGATTTTGGACAAGTTCTGTGAATTCTCCATTGTGCTGTCTAGCCAGATTTATTTCAGGAAAAGGTTCCTATTAAATTTACCCTCAAACATTCGTGGCAAATATTTTTGGTGTCTAATGCCAAATTCATTTTCAAAAGCGTTGCGGCTTCTTGTCGTTGATGTCAACCCAGATCTTGGAGAATGCCAAACGTGGTACCGGTGCCAGTGGTTCGGCATTGCTGGCCTGGAAAGGCATTTTAAATATAATATTATATTTAATTAGCATGCAAATCAGGATTTTCATCTTCACTTCGTGATTAATGTGAAGATTGCCCAACTTTAAAAACACTAAACATTTAGGAAGAGTAAAGTCTACCATAACAATTAGATATTATCATCACAGGTACAGGGGTTAAACATGGCTATTGCGCAGTATAATGGCCATAGGCTTTGACACGTGCAAATGTAAAGTGAAATACAGTAGACAACCGTGTCTTTTCTTTAATGACACTAAAAATCTGAAATATTTCTCTGTTACAAGAAATAAATATGTAAGCTTTTTTCCCCCAAAGCATCAGATCTGTAATGCAAGTTCTCGGCAGGTTACTTGTCCTCAAGCTATAGTCAGCTGTTTTCCTCTACTCTTTTTTTTTGGTTTTTTTTGCTCAGCTCTTATTTTACATCACAAACAATATGCACAACTACGTTTATGAAAATGCTGGGAGGTACATCTTCTATATATCAGGTCTGCTTTTCTCTGGTGTCAGACTTTATTTTTTTCCCCCATCCGTCCTACGGCTTTAATATCAATATTGAAATGCAGCTTGTTCCCTTTCTCGCCAGAATTTTTGCCTTAAAATTAGTTTTGGCAAACAACATCAGAATATAAATGGAGAAAATAAATTAAAAAAAAAAATCACATTATGTTTCTATTTAAGGAGAGAGGAGCAGTAAATTTATTCCGGTCTCTTTCTAAGTAGGAGAGTAATGGAGCTGCTTTGACGTTTGAGCTGCCGTAAAGTTGTGTACGTAGGTATGTTCGTGTGAGACAAATGCCGTTTTTTAGCGTTGTCCAGCATTTTTTCCCTACAGGAAGGAGGTGCCATGAAAATGTATTTATTACCTCCAAAACAATAATGATAAAGCGGGAACGAGGTTTTTCTACCACGTTTGAAACAAACTTCATTGTCGTGTTGTCACCAGCAGATATTGGCCACGTTCACCCAACCTCCACGTCTGAAGTTCGCTGATGGTTTTTCTCCACTGTCCGAAGCACCCTCGGTCTATATTTAGTATATCGGTATATTTAATATATTGGTATATTTACCAAGATAATAAAGAGCTATCATCTCACATACAAATTAAATACTGAAAGCCATTAACTTAAACTTTCGGATTTTAACAAACGGCAGTTATTTTTCACTGTGCTGAAAAGTAGTCAGCTACTGTTTTACCTGCTCGTAACACTTTCTTTGGTTTTAATATTTCCTGTAAAAGGTGTGCTCACAAGAGGACGGCTGGGCCTTGTGGAAATCATCCACCAGTACATTCGTTACGATGAGATACACGCGGCAATTAATGTCCTGAACACCATGAACTGGAACACGATGGGTCGTCAGTGCTATATATGCTTGAGTGCCATTGTCAATCACCTTCTTAAACAAAAGCTCACACCAGACAGAGAAGGTAAAGGTCTGATTATATTTTTTAATGTAGTTTGGTGGCGTCTTCTTGATTCGTATGTGGGTTAGGACAATGTATTTATTGACTGTGTAAAGAAGACAATAGCGAGAATGCGGACAGTCGGCCAGATGATGGTACTTCGTAATCGAATGCCGTATGTAGACAAGTCATTTCTATAAAATCTGGATCCATATGTTGATTGCATTTTAGTTCATCTGTATCAATAGTGATTCTAAAATAATGCATACTTTAATATGTATATGGGACAGGCATGACTTGATATATATACAGCACCATCATATATATGCTGTGACTTTATTACATTACATAAATTTGCTTATGTTACAGGCTAACGTTAGTTAATACAGGATTGAAATGTTTGTTACATATTCATGCTCAGACAACACCGTCTTAAGGAGTTTTGCTGACGGGGAGAAGAGATTCCAGTGTGGTTTTTCAGGTGCTTTTGAAGGGTCATTCTTTCATTACAAGATCCAGAGGTTTTGAATACACTATCCTCTGCTGCCTCCTTTAGGATTATAGCATTTGTCCTCACCGTAATCTTCTGGGCCCCTGCAGTCGTAACTGGGGTCCCTCACGAGAAGCGATGACTTTTAGGTTCGCGCTCCTCTCCGCTGAAGCCCGGTGTGATGCCTTCCTCTTGATTTGCTGTCTGTCTTGAAACTCAATCGACTCCCAAGATTTGAAGTGCCTTGATTTAGCGAAGGTGTTATCCCCCAGGCTGGCAGGCAGACGGCTGGGGACCGGGCGTCTTTTGTGCCAAGAAGGAATACTCAGGATTCTGGTGTGTTTGATGATAGAAAAACTCCGAGGCGTCCTACATCGCTGCCGAGCTATCAGCTATCCCATTTTGGGGAATCTGATTTTTAAAAAAAAAAAAACCCACCTCTCCGTATTGAAAACCTAGCGTATCGATTCGAAATAAAACATGCTTTTAAAAGGACCCGTGAAGAGGGCTGGTTTTGAAACTCTTGTAAAAATACGCACGTTATAAATAGAGGTCGGTGTGTTTCCCCCCGTGCAGCTCCCTAACGCTGTTTACAGCAGACGGGATTTTATTCTGGCCAGGAGGAGTGATTCTGTGCGAATCTAACAAATTTGGCATGGTAATTTGTTTCCTTTTTTATTAGCAAAACCCAGCGGGGCCTTTTATTTCTAGCGACGGGGCAGTTGTCTTTGAGATCTTTATTCTGCCTTCAACATCAAGCTGGGCTGTCTAATGAATCTATAACTGTGCTAGCAGTTGCTCGTGTTCCACGTAGGTTGAAATATTTCAGAAGACCAAAACATGCTGTCAAGAAAACAGCAACGGCAAGGGAGTGTGGCTTGCTTTTGCACAGGTACCGCTGTATTCAATTTTAATGGAAATTGATGCTGCTAGGAAAGAAAATACCTTTGAAGTTCAACTTATCGTACTGTCTGGATTTCAGATAACGCAAAACCCGATTTGCTAACAGTTCGCCTGTGTTGCTAACGCAGTACGGTTAGCACGTTTAGTGCTGTCAAGGCTAACAAAATGTAACTATGCTCAGAAATAAAAAACTTATTTTAAGAAATACATAAATAAACAAATAATACATACAGAAAATATCACTAAATACAGAAATGGCTAGTTTTGACAAATGTTAATAACAGCAAATCGGTGGCGATTTTTGTCTGCCTAATGAGACAATAGGTGATATTTTGCTTTTAAAGCCGGCACAAAATTCTGATTAGCAGTAGCAGTTTGCACATTCACTCCGAAAGGAGAACCTGTATAGCAAACATATAGCAAATTGTCCCTGTTCTGCCTCTAATGACTTGTACTACGTGTTAACTCTCAAGCAGAGGTCACATAGCATAAATATTGTTGATCATTTAAATTTCCTTTCTGCTAAGCGTGTGGGACACAAAGGTATACTGTGTATTTTCTTGTATTATTTATAATTTTGTGTTAAAAACATGGAGAAAAAGGCCTAAGAGCTCCAGCTGTGGAGTATAGCAGTCAGAAAGTGTTTAAAAATAAGGAGAACTTCTGTAACAAAAGGGCTTTTATTGATTGCAAGGGAGGTTATCCTGTTTCCCACCACTACGTGCTGTAGGAGAGTCAAACCCTGAGGTTTTCTAGACCATTTCATTTAAAGTTTTTAAAGAACTGTGGGCTGAAGGAGGTTCCTTAGACCTCAAGGCCATCCCAAGAAGGGTTCTGTCACCCGCTGACCTAAAACAATAATCCCCCAAAATCTGAACTTCCTTGTTGCTTGCCTAAGAGGACAAGGACAATTTGAGCTAATTGAGAGTTGATCTCTACTGGACAAACTTGTTCCAACTGCATTACTCCTATGAGTCACTCTTAATTGTACGCTGCTGGTGAGAACTTGATGTGTTGTAGACTGCTTCATCCTTTTGACAACTTTTTGTTGCTCGAAGTCATTGTCAACTCTGCCTCAAAGTGAAAGTTTATGCGCGCTTTTGTGTTTGTACAATCTGTCATATTTTAATTTCATCTGTCCTACAACGACATCCCGTTTCATCCCTCTTTGAGGAATTTGACTGACTGCAAACATGAGCAACCTGTTGTAATTGAAACAGTTTCACTTGTTTCGTTGCTGCTGTGTTTGAACTCTGCAGCGCAGCTTGAGGCAAGCCTTGGAACCTTTTACGCTCCAACAAGACCCCTCTTGGATCCAACCGTGCTGGAGTACAGGGACCCGATCAGCAGATATGCGAGAAGGTTCTTCCACCACCTGCTCAGGTGAATGACAGTTTCGACTTCTATCAACTTAAAATTAATTGCATATTTCAATAACTGCCTCCTTTAATGTGGTTAACATTTTCCAAGAGGACCACCCCTGAAAAAAATGCATTCATTGTTACTGTTTGTTTAACTTGCACTTCGTTCCTTTCAAGTACAGTATGACAGATAAAATGCTATTCAGAGCTCCTCTATCATCAATACACTTGAAATGAATCACCCTTTCCCTTTTAGCTCGATAGAAAAAAGATAGCGTGCTTCTGAGAGATTTATATTCACCAACCACTTGCAGATTAACTGTTGAAACAGCTTACAAATGTGGAGCCAACACCAAGTTTAGATAGATGCTAAAATGCAAATGAGCAGTACACGGTCCAAGAAATGTTTGTCTTTGTACCGTTGAAGTCCGAGCGTTTTGTTGCCCTCATCCTCAAAGTTCTCATGCAGAAATTCGTATTCCAGGAGTTTTCAGGGCGTTTTCAGTGCCATTAAAATAAGAGGAGAAAATGAAATGTTGCATTCGTCTGTAAATTATATATTAGAAGAGTCATAATACTAAATTCGGGTAGAATTTGTAGTACATTGGTTTATTCCGAGATTTTTCCTTCATATTAAATCAACAGCCTAAAGTTCAGTTATAAATATCAATATTCAGGAGTTTAACCCGTTCATGTGTTTAACCACAAATACAGCTGAAACATTCCCTCTGACAATTATCCTGTGGGTGGAAATAAGGAGAAATTAACCTTCTGAACAGCACAACGTTTGTAACACCTTGCTGAGGGGGAGTATAGGTGGCCACAGCGAGAAGACTTGCAACGCACAAGAATCACTTTTTTTTCGGCGATTCTTCTAGATTATATATATTGGCTGCGTATGCCAAGCTAAGAACTGCAAGTTACTTTTGATAGCGCGGTTTGTGCTTCTTTCAAATCTTAAAGGGAAATATTGCATACTGTCGTCCGCATTTTGAATCTGAATAGGATCATCTTTCTGCTCAACGGGTCCATTCCCGTGGGGAAATTCTTCTAAGTGGAAGAGCTCTCCAAATATAATATGCACCAGCCTTTCAGGGGAGTTTTCCTAATCGATGTGGCCACAGTAGCGGGTCCAAACTCTGCTTTTGCCTTTCTCCTAGAAGCCGGGGGGCGGGGGGGGAAGATCTCTTGCGGCAAGTGGCCAACTGTAGTGGCCGCAGGCCAGTTGCCTGCAGAGGACAGATGCGGAAAGAACGCCTCCGAGATGGCTGAGAGGTGTAACCACAGTGCTCTGACATCTGCAAGAGAAAGGTGTATTCCCTCTGACTCAGGATTTGCTTCCAAACGCTAGCAGGCATGCAGAGGCGTGGGGCCCCGGCTACGCTTTCAGCCCCTGGGGCTGCTGAACACAGCTCAAACACTGACTCAATCCCCCTAGAAAACAAGAAATTTCAGTGTCAGAACGCTGCCCGGACAGTACGGGGCACAGGCAGGAGATGTATAGCAGAGTTTCCCCGTGTTTTTTACCTCCGCTATGAAGCAGCCCTTGAACCATCTATGGTCGCGGCAGTTTTTGGAGCAAATGTGTGTTATTTTGCTGTTTCCCTATTGTCGAAGGGATTTGTATTCAGCTGAATCAAAGTGATAGGATCATGTGATTGCTGCAGAACAGATGGTAATGCTTAAAGCTTATCTGGGAAGACATAATCTAAGTACGAAATGAAATGTTCAAAAATGGGAGATTTATCTGCTAGAAAGCAAGGAAACGATGTGCGGAGCTGATCTTTATTGTATTAAAGTGGCTGTGCCTTAATTGGTGTTTATTTCCTTTTAGAGGTTTCCTTAAGTGACTAGAATGATTCAGATGTAGGCTAAGCAGCGAGTACTACGGATTTGTTTGTTGGCGAAACGGTAAACCCGGGTTCTGGGTGAGAGAATGCCATCTCGGCGCGATGCAACGTCTAGGAGAGTCACAGGGAGGGCACAAGGCTCACTAATCCTTTCAGGCACCCAAAAGTTGCGCCCACTGCTATGAAATCCATCGGCGAGGAGCCGGCTAGGTGGCCAGACAAGAAGCCTTGAAGGCAGACGCGCCGTCAACGGCTGCTGCCGACTTGATGCGGCACTAAGGGGACATTTGTCACTCTCTCGTGAGCATCGGGAGACAAAAGCAAAGTGACCGCTTTGTGCCCTGTGGCAGCAAGAAGCGGAGGAAACGTGGCGCTTCCCAAATTACCCGCGCTGTAAGCGTGGCTGGTATTCAAAAAATATTGCTTGGAATAGAGTCGGGCTTTCCGCAATTCCTTTGGGCTTCGGAGAGCGCAAGCAGCACGTGCGCAGAAAGCAAATCTAGAGGATAAAGAGCTAAAACGTGCGGGGAAAAAACTCGGAAGTGGGGTGGGAAGGGTGGGGAAAGTGGGGTTAGGAGCGTGACGAGGAACTGGGGATGAAGGAGTAAAGGCATCCTTTAAAAAGTACAGGATTTACCGAGTCCTGCGCAAGGGCAGAGTGGGAGTACAGAGCGAAATGGGGGGAAGACAGCTTAGGGGGTGCGTGGTGGGCTCTAGAGGAGACCAGGCAGATAAAGGATGGACAGGGAAGGGTGGAGTCTTTCATACAAGATTAAAACCTTAAAACGCTTAAACGTTTCTAGATCTAAATCTGAAAAATGTTCATATAAACAAAAGTTCCCCCCACCACCACCACCCCCTCTCCGGCTTTCCTTTGAATGCCCCACCAATCTGCCTTAAGCCTTTTCTAGAAGGACCCGCTCTCGGGAGAGAAATATTAATTCATTCTACATGCTGAGACAATCTTTGACCTGCCTGCCGAGCCTGCCAAAAAGGTGCCAGTTATTGTTGTACTTTTGAAGATGCGAGTGTCTGCGTTTGCGAGAATTGAGAAATACGGTTACCTTTGCAGAAGGGCTATCCTCACCTAGCAATAATCACGTGCCGATGATTTTAATCTTTACTGTAGGCTGAAAGGTTGTATATCCAGTTGCAAATAACTGGAGACATCCATTTTCGCGTTATCAGCGGAGATGATAGGCTAACTCTTTTTCAGCCGTCAAATGGGATCAGTTTCTAGAAAACGCTGAACGCTGTGACGGTAGGTTCCCTCTTTTGGGTATCTTTAGAAAGAAGATGCTCCGTATAGCAAGTACGGGTTAGGAAATGGTGCTGCGACCTGAGATGGGGCAGGGGCCACGGGCAGCCCGATTGAAACGGGATCGCAATTAGACGGAGGGAAAACGCGTTGCCTCATAGTTGACGCAGCTGCGTTGTTTGCGGCCGTCGTTAGGAAGGCTGTGTTCTCAAATTTGCAAACGGTGCAGCATCTTCAGCTTCCGTGAAGAGAGAAGCTTGGAGGTTTGCAGGTATAGGCCCTGGACGTAGAATATGGAATACCTCCAAAACCAGGCGTTCGGTATAAGAAAATTAAAATTAAAGGCTTCTTAATTATATGCCGGGGATGCATTAATGCAGTATTTATGGAATGAATAATTATTTTCACTTTAAATTCTTATCTATAATTAAAAAACACGGGAACTGAATGACAAGTATAGAAAGGTAACTTAGGTGTTCCTCCCCACTTGAGCAGCACTCGGGTGTTTTATTATGATGTCACTGCTCGTAACGATCCAACGCCTTATATCATTATGTAAAAAGGTTGCGCAGAGGTGGATTTACGAGGAAGCCTTGGGGAACCGCAGCCTTCTTGCCCCCACCCTTTAGTGGAGGGCTGTCTGCTCAGTGTGTAATTTGTGTAGGGGTGGGGGGCAGCGGCGGCACAACCTCCCTCCAACAGCCTCATCTGGCCCTGTACACAACGCGGAACGGGCTGGGATCGTTTTTTCACTCGTTAACTACGGCGGCGCTGACTCACAGCTTTGCTTCGCTCTCGTCGAGCGCTCGTAAATCGTGCTTGTCGTATTTTCTACTGCGTGAAATTATCTTGTGTGTTCGACACACACACACACACACACAGAGGCGCAAACACACACGCCTGCGCTGTTTGGTTCAAATTTTTCTGCCCCTCTCAGAGAGGCGGTGAGGAAGGAACGTGGCGGGAGGTGGAGGTAAAGGCTGGGCGGGAAAGTGAAGTCTGAAAGGCAGCTCAGGAGTCGTAGAATTAGAAGGCATGAATTCTGCTGTGCCCTTTCCTCCTTTGCACTTCTGTTCTTGTGTTTGTGAATACGCAGTTTAAGGATCTTTTTACCTTCTGGTTGGGTTGTTGGTTTTTTTTTCATGGAAAAATGCTAAGATTCAAAACCATTTGGACCTTTTCATCTGATAATTCCATTAAGAGAATGTCACTGGGGTTTTTCCCCCCTCCCTGCTACAAATACGTTCCCCTACAAAGCAAAGTTCTCTTATAAAGAACAACATAGAACATTTGCTTCTTTCAAGAGCACAGCGTAGCTCTGATCATGTTCACTGGTTGAATTTTTGGATGGATTCAGGAAAGATTCTCCTTTCTCTGAATCCAAAAATTAAAACCTCGGCCGTGTTTTTACTGTTACTCTTTTTATGCCTTCAGCAAATCTCCTCAGAAGCGTTGTGTACTCTTCCCAGTGTTCAATGTAAGAGGCTACTGGTTAAACGCAAGGAAGAATTTAGCTCCGCGTTGGGCAGAACGTTCATAAAGTGGCGTGACTTTAAAGGCGGAACTCGATGGAGCTCCTTCGTAAAGAAACGCTCGTAACGGAGACGGGAGAGTAGGTGGTCGTTAGCGTCTGGGGAGACCTCTTTCCAGCCGGTCCTGATTTTTATGAGTCACTTCGCTGTTCAAGAGTTCTGAAGTGTACTGCTATACTACCTGACATGATGCCTTGACACAGTCAGTTATCACTTAAGTCCAAGACAGCCTTTGAAAAGCTCAAATAAAGCTCTTTCGCCCTGCAGGTACATCACTTATGCAGTACTAACTACCCCTCGGTAAGCAGGTTCCCCTATCACTACACTGCAACCTGCAAAGTAGATATTCACTGTGAGTATTCCGTCCTAAATAGGACCCTAA